GAGACAATTATTCTGTCTCGTGATTATCTACATTATACTATAGGAAGCAATGAGAAAAATAATCGTATTGAAATGAGACAGTCACTTAAAAATGTAAAGAAACAATATTCTCAAAATTTGGATATACCACAGATCACCTGGGGTTAAAATAATTAAATAGTAGAAATATTTTCTGCAAACCTTTTCCCACATAGCTGGCAACATTCAGAACCTAAACCAAATTGCATGAGTAGCTTAGGTGACAGAAAAACTTCACAATGTATGAAAATGGTAAAGCCCTGGGATAGCTTATATACATCACATATAGTAAAAATAAAGTTGCAGAATATTTTTTGTTTGCTGGTACATAATATAAAACCAAAATTAGAATTTAGTTAGACTAATGAAATGAATGTAAATTTTCTCTCACGAAGGTAGGGGTTAAGGAAATGCTAACATTTTCTTCATTTATTATCAGGTTATAAAGTGTGCCCTCAAACAAAGATTTTCTTTGAAGTACATGGAGCTGAAAACACTAGAGACAAGAATATTCTGTCCTTCTACGTAAACATTAACTGGGCGTGATAGGCAAGTGTACTCTTTAAAACAGATTATGTTTTTTCTGCCTGTATTTCTTGACTTTGATAGACTCCGATTTTCATCGATAGTCCAGCATTTCGTCTTCAAATATTAATATATCCTTTTCATATTTGTGAGAATGTGCATGTACAAAGGTTGCCATCACATTTAACATAAAGGAGTATCTCGTATTATAAGTGCAGTGTATAAGGATAGGATACTTAGGATACTGTAAGTACTATGATATCTGACATCCCAAGTGTACAAAACTGGACCTGCCTGAGACAATATTTCTGCTTATGTGAAGCCACAGGACTGGGGCCACATACAGCACTGTGGAGTGACTGGGGGCAGGCACTGACTTTTCAGTGCCCATCTCATTCTGAGTGACAGTACGGGAGACATACAACATTGCATTCCCAAAAGATGTTAAACAAAAACCAGCTTAAAGGTACTTAAGTTTGTTGCCTAAAACAGTATTTGGATTTTATTTTTAACAGTAACAAAATTTTATTTATGTCTCCAGTAATAATTTAATTCTTTAAAGTTCTCAGATTCTTTTTACAATTACTTTTTACCACTACAGAGTCCACTGAACTTCAGGTCTTTCAAAGTGAGTTTCCTTTTAATACCTGTAAATCTATCAGAAAAAGATATTCTCTCTAGTTTCAGTTTCAAGGCAATGATTTGGACACTTATAGGTGTACTTTGTTTAGTGTCACCTATGGTGTAGATTGGATAGATTTTGTACAAGATAGCATTACTTTTAAAGAAACATACAATTTGACAAGCTATTGCATTTTACCTTCATTTTATTGCCATATTTTTCATCACACTCATTGTTTTCCAACTGTCACTAAATTGTTCATTTTCTTAGTCTGCCGCATTTGTAGACCTATTTACTGTTTATAAAGCAATATGCACTTACAGGTTTTGGAGATGGCTTGGGCTCCGAGGGTCGCATGTGCAAGTGGGTCATCATCGCTTGAAGACGTTCGCGCTCTTTAGAAAGCTGTTAAGAAAGAGTGAGATCAGAAGCATTTTAGAAATGACTGATACAGCTATTTTATTGCAGTGATACATCTTATCATTGAGCCTGTCTCAGTGTAATGATTCCTGCATATAAAAGTCTATGTCAGTAGAAACTTATCTGAGAGGAAATGCAACTTTGGGCATGGAAAAAAAAAAAACTTTTATAGCCTTTCATATGTTAAAAGGTCAGAGAAAACAAATAACACTTCATCTTTTTGTCAATAAGAGAATTGAGGTCACAGTTGCCTCGACAGTAACAAGTTACTAAGACCATAAATTAGAAGGCCCATAGTGTCTCTTTAAAGTCCTGTGGACACTGTTAGCAATGGACTAGTGCCAGCAGCTGTGAAGGGGTGAAGGGTCCTCCAAGCGCAGTGCCTGCCAGGATTGTCTACACACTTCATCCTTTCCCACCGAGGTCCAGTTAGTGCCCCCTGCAATCTGCCATCATCAATCTAATTCAATAGAGTGACAGAGACCAGGCAGTGTGAAACGCTGAACTCTGCCACCGAGTCGGCATCTACACTGCACTGGGTCTCATTACAACTGATGGACCTTACTTTACTATCACTCAGACAAAGCGAAAAATGGCATAATTGGTCACACTGCAAGCTAAATCTTCAGTTGGACTGTTACATTACAGCATAGCTTTTGTAAATTGTAAACAGTTCTTAAGAAACCTTTAAACTGGCTTTAAAAAACATTATGTGTTTCTAAATCCTGTGTCTTTTTTCTTATTCAATTTTCTTATTGCACACTGGATAAATCTTTGTATTTTAAGACTCAAGCCATAAAAAACTTAAAAGAAAAACAGGAAAAAGTGCTTGCAATACATATCTCGACTCTAAAAACATCAGAACGTACAAAAAAACATTCCACATGAAAATAAGATACGAATTACTAGAAGATGCATTTTAGTGACATTGACTTTGGATAACTACAGAAGGATGACTACATTAGCTGACTCAAGGATCTCTTTGGTGTAAAACACTACCATTTTTTGGAAAGCTCTGTCACACTTCCTTGTATGGAATCAGCACCAATCAAAGCTGTACCAGTATACTGGAACTGGACTAGGCAAAACAACTTACAAGTAATTTAGAACAATGGGAAACTACCTGTGTTACCGCAGGATATGGATTTGGATATACTGGACATAATTTGGTCAGTACATCTTTAATTGAAACAACACTGGAGGCAGGAGAGGGGAAAAAGAATTCTTCTTAAGCTTTATATTATATGTATGACACTTAAGAGACGTGCTATTTGCCACGATGTAAATCCCTGAGAAAAAACCTAAGATAACATTAGCCTGTAAATCTCTTAAAATAAATTAGAGCTTTGCCTGGGTTTTAAAAAAAATCACTTCAAGGGGATAAATGATATTATTATACTTTCTCACTGTTTTTGGTTTCCAGTGTTAAAATGCCAAAGAACCAAACACTTCCCTTGGTCTGCAAGAAGAAAAAGCATTAGGTATATTACAATGGGGAGGCAGTATGGTAAAAGGCAAGAAAGCTGAAAGTTGTTTATCTTGCCTTCTCTACCACGACATATAGAGCAAACAGGAAAAAAATCTCAGTCCCTGACTACATCCTTTGGACTCCTCTGCACCTTTCCAAACAGGATAGGACTGGAAAATGTGGATACATTGTGAACACCCACACAGATCTGGAAGAAACTGCATGGGGTGGACGCTGATCGTGGAAGTTCTTGGCTGCTGCAGTTTATTCCAAGCCTGTGACGGAGACTACACCCTAGTAAGGGTAGTCCTAATGGTGGGAGACCCCAAAGGTATTCTGTGTTCTTCCCAAGTGGGCCAGAGCATTCCTGTATATGCACTGACCCCTAATGGTTAGAGACAGCACTGGCTCAATCAAGGGAACATCAGCTAATGCTTTTAGCTGAAGTCTGGGGAAATGCGCACGCCGGCAAAAGGGAGGTGTCAGAAGGACTTCCGGCATGTGGGACACCCTTTGGATGGGGGAAACAAGGTCAGCCCTCTTTGGAAAGATGTCTAGAGCCAGGGCAGAGGATACAGCTGGGGTCTTATGCCAGACGCCTCTGCTGTGGGAGCAGGAGGACAGGGGAATCCTTGACTGAGTCTGAGTTTACACCTTCTGCTTCTGGAACAATGCCCACCACCAGTCAGGGCATCACTTTGGGTGGATTTGGGTGGAGATACCCCCTGCATCCCCTTCTCCTGCAGAACAGCACAGCCAAGGACCCGGCAGGGGAGGAAGGCAGAGGGGTCCTGACTCAGCGCTTCAAGAAGGGCAAGCGGCTTGGATCCACTCTTTGCTCTAGGGACCACATTTTTCATTCATGATAAATGGCACTGGGGTCTTAGTTCAAGCAAAATACAGGAGACAGTGCTGATGTTAGATAATTATTGCATAATTTATAATGTGAGAAATCTTAAAGTAAAAAAACCCACTTGTTCAGGAGTATCAACAAATTTCATGCAAGAAACATACAGCTTTAAGCCAGAATCATTAAGACAAGTGTTTTCAATTTAGTTTAAATTAATAGTAAATAAGTAATAGGATAATGCATCCATGTAACAAACCTGTATTTCTAGCTGCTGATCCACTTGCATCTGCACCCGACACTGAGCAGTGCTTCTGTCATCCAATGCATGTTCATTGTTAAGGTGCCTAGTGGAGAAAGAGAGCACTAATAAGAGAGCGGTAAAATGAGGATAATTTCTCTCCGAGTCCATTTTTCTCTCCTGTGTGTATGGCTTCCATTAATTTCAAGGGGAGTTATGTGAAAAGGTCTAGTTAGAGCATGTCGTAGAGGCTACAATGCAAAATAACCAAATTGATGTTAGTTCATTTAGTTCTACAAACCGTTTCTCCCTGATGACTGCCAGATGCCCTGTTCCTATCTCCCAGATCACGTAAGGCACCTAAAAGCCAATGTAAGTGGCTATCAATATTTGGTCGTGTCACTGAGCTGCTTTGCACTCCTCGTTCGTACAGATGAAGACAGTCACCTCATAAACGATTCTTCCAAAGACAACTTGCAGCAAGCCTCTGTGAGGGGATTTGGGATTATGCCAGGTTTGCCAAACAAAACCACTCTGTGCAAGAGGGGAAAGACCTGTCTGGGGGGCTAGTCTCCATAACAAAACCACAGCCTGGACAGACGCACATGACTGTGCCCCAAATGTCTCACTAGATGCAGAGCTTTACGGAACTCATTTACTCCTTGTTTTGAAGGAGAGTGATTTCAGTTCATTCTCTCAGTGTGCTTGCTCTTGCTCCACTAAGAAAATGTGGGGATCCAGCTAAAGAGGAAATGGGGAGAGAGGAGTTTTTGCTCCTGGATGTGGCCTTGCTGGCTACTTCACCGTAGGCAAATAGGGTAGGGCCTACACTCACAGACAGTTAAAGGAATTGCACGAT